CCTCCCTCACGCGGTACGGGTTGGAGAATATCTGCGTGACGCTGCTGAAGGTGTCCAGCAGCCGCCCAAAGAACTGCATCTTCCCAGAGCCTCAGGCGGCCTCTCCTGAGGGAAAGGCGGCCACTGGCCCCGCCGGCCCCTGCCCTTCCAGGCACGGCGTGACGCGGATCCGGGAATGGGACGAGGCTGGATCCGGGGTCGGGATGAGGCGGGATCCGGGGATGGCGCCGGGCAAAGCACGACGGGCCCCCAGCGCCCCCCGCGCGCCGTCCCCCGCGCGCACCGCCCGCCGCGCGCCAATCGCCGGCACCGCCCCCCGGGACGGGCCAATCAGCGGCGCCGCTTCTGGGGCGGGGCCATGGGGGCGGGATTAAAGCCGCGCCCGCCGCCTGCCGAAGGAGGAGGGCAGAAGGCGCCATCTTTGTGAGGGGCGGGGCGACAGGGGTGGCGCCGCCCTTCTTAAAGCGGTAGCGGCCCATTTCGGTGGGGCGTTCTGCTGCCGGCAGCGCCGTTCGCCGGTCGTGCGCCTCCCCTGAGCGCGAGGTCAATCCAGCGCTGTTGGAGCGCGGCCGCGTTCCCAGCGCGGGGTGCGGTGAGCGCTGGCAGCGTGCGAGGAGCGCTGGCACCGCGGGGCGCTTTAAGGGCAGCGGGCGCTTTAAGGGCAGCGGCCGCCCCGCGCGGCAGCGGCGGCAAGGGGGCGTGGCGAGGGTGACGTCACCGCATGACTGTGTTTTTATGAATGAAAAGAATCCGCGGGTGAGTAATCGCGGGGAGCGAGGTTGGAGGCGCCGCCCGACGCCCTGACCCGGCTGCGGCCCCGCGGGACCAGCGCAGCCGCCAGGTGAGCGCCGGCCCGAGCGGCCCCTCCGCTCCCGCCTCGGCTTTGCCCCTCGCGGGGCGGCCGGGAGAAGGGGGCGGCGGGGTCCGGCACCGGCTGGAGGCCTCTCTGCCGCCGCCGAAGGCGGGGATCGGGACCGGGACTAGGGCTGGGGGGAACGGGACGGGGGGCCGGCCGGCCAACCGCGCTCGCGGCCGTGCGTTCTTCCTTTTCAATTCCCGGCCACCGCCCTGGAGGGATCCGCCGCCGCTCCTCCGGCTCCGGCGGCGGATCCCCGGCCCGGATTGCATCAGCTTCCAGCCGGCCCGGCTCCTCCTTTCCCGCCGCCCCCCTCCAGCCCCTCATTCCTCTCGGGGCGCTCTCGGCCCCGTCCCGGCCCCCCTCGTCCCTCTGAGGGCTGTCCTAATGAGGCCGGGGTTCCCCGAGGTTGGGAGACGCTGCTGGGCTGCAGTCCGGGGTCCCGGACCCCTCCTCACTCTCCGAACCCGGGGGCGGCGAGGGACCGGCCATCGGCGAGGGGCTGGCACCGCTTCCGTGACTTTCACCCCGGGGCTGCTGAATCACGGGGCGGCCACTTCTCACCCGCCCTCCCCCGGAGCCAGGGGACACCCGACCCTTGCGCCGGGACCCGCCGTGCTCTCGCCGGGCGGTGGGGCAGCATCTCCACACGGGTCCCGACTGGGTGACTTCGCCACCGTGTCACTCGGTGGGGCTGCTGCTTTTACTTTCCCTTCAGCCCCGGGCGGATCTCGCCTGTGTTTCCTCCCCGCGGGGAAGGCTTGGCTTCCCGGCAGACGGCTGGGGCATTTTGGGTCCCCTGGGCAGAGCAGCATCCCAGCCGTCTCGTGATGGGATGAAGGAGGGTGGGAGGTCCATCCTTGCCCCATTATTATTATTGCTTGCAGTCATCATTGCTATTAATATTATTACTATGTACTTTTTTAAAAGGAGTGGGATGAGTCATGCGGCCCGGGGTGGGGGGGAATGTGGGTAGCGGGCAGGGGACCAGCAGGGCTGGTGTCCTCTCTTCTGAGGTGAGGAACACGGGGCTGGCAGTAACTGGCTTTTCTCCTGGCTGCTCAGCAGGGCCAGAGCGAGGAAAGGATGGCTGCAGACGGGCTCTCCAGCAAGGCTTTGAAGGTGAGCACCAGTGAGAACAGGGGCTTGGGAGTCAGGGGGCTGGTTTTGGGGGTCTCAGGCAGCCACCCCTCTCTCCGGCAGGTGAAGCGGGAGCTGGGGGAGAACACTCCACTGCTGTCAGATGAGGAGCTGATGGGGCTGTCAGTGCGGGAACTCAACCACCACCTGCGGGGCCTCTCCAAGGAGGAGGTGGCGAGGCTGAAGCAGCGTCGTCGGACACTGAAGAACCGGGGTTATGCTGCCAGCTGCCGAGTGAAGCGCGTCTGCCAGAAGGAAGAGCTGCAGAAGCAGAAGATGGAGCTGGAGTGGGAGGTGGACAAGCTGGCCCGGGAGAACGCTGCCATGCGCTTGGAGCTCGACACCCTCCGTGGCAAGTACGAGGCCCTGCAGGGCTTCGCCCGCACCGTGGCCACTCACGGGCCCCCCGCCAAGGTGGCTACCGCCAGTGTCATCACCATCGTCAAGTCCGGCACCAACCAGGCTGCCTACTCCTAGTGCTGGCCTCTGTTCCCCCGCTGGGCACAGTCCTCCCCGGGGTGCCTTCCCTATGAATTGCCTCCCAGCCCTTCCCCAACCTCCTCTCTGTCAAGACCTGTGCCCAAAATCCTCTTTCTCCCATCCCTTGACCTCCAGCTCCCCCAGGTAGGGAGGGCTGCTGCTATGTGGGTGCTTGAATGGAGGACAGGACCTCACTGGTGGCCCCCATAGCCCCCTCCCCTCTTGGGTGTGCAGACAGGAGAGAGTGAACCCACACAGGCAGCAGTGAGGAAGCATCCCACAGCTCCAAGCTGGTAGGAAAATGCCAGGTGCCTCTTTTTTGTGAGAGGGCATGGGAGAGCCACATGTGGGCCAGGCAGTCCTAGAAGCATGTGCCAGAGGAGAGAGAGGTTTTGCAGTGTAGGGGAAGAAGGCATGATAGAAGGGTATCAGCATTAGGCAGACAACCTGGACCACAGCTGGAGCAGGAAGGGAGGTGGCAGCATGTCTGAAATCTCTGGGGATTCAGATGGCAAGGGAAGGTTAGCAGGTCAGAGGGGGAGATAAAGTGACTGCGTGTTAATGCCTGGTAAGGGTGAATGGAATGGGAAAGCACTGTGGCAGCTTGTGGTGCTGGGGGACCCTAGAGGTGACAGTGATTGGTCAGGGCGGAGCTGGGAGACGTGAGTGGGTCACTCCAGGCTGTTGTCCACAAAGGGGAAAAGCAGTGGTGCTGTTTTATCTTTCTCTATCATGCACATCCTTCACGCCTCTTCCTGCTGACGGGACACTCAGCCTGGCCGGGTGTCTGAAATGCAGCAGAACTGGCAGGAAGGAAGCAGAGGCAGCAGGAGCAGAGATAAACACTGTTTTGCTCAGCACAGGCCAGCTTGTGTGGCCCCACCAAGTCCTCCCCGGTGCCCCACCACCTACAAAGCCCATGGAAAGGTGCTCCTGGCCCTTAGAGTCGGAGATGTGGAGGGAGAGAGAGGGGTGAAGATGCAGGAGGTGGGAAGTAGGGACAGAGAGCATCCCTGCTCCTTGGAGCTGCCTGGCAGGCAGGTAGGCTCCTCCCTTTGATTTTCCTCCAGCTTGGACACCAGTGTGGGACAACCAGCTCTGGAGCAGGCTGAAAGGCTGGAGAAGAGCTGGGTTCGCTAAATACAGGCAGCACAGGGGAGGGAGCAGGAGGCAGGTCCATCTCGGGATCTGCTGCTGTAGATGATTCCCCCGCCCCTCCGTTCTGCCCTTGCCTGGGTATTGCCACGCCAGCCGCCCTCGGCTGCAGCCTCCATTCTTCCCTATAGAGAGGTGCCTGCCACTCCTGGAAGGGGCACTTGGTTGGCATCCCCCACCCCAACTCCTCTTGGGTTTATTTATTGCACGAACATAAGTTATTTTCACGTCCTCTGCCATTCCGCCTCTCGGCACAGCCAGGATGTTGGTACAGAGCCGTACTTTATATTTTATATATGCAAATCACATTTTATCTTATACTTATATAGAGCAAAAAAAAACTTATTTATTTTCTGACTTACAGTATGTGTCCTACCCGACTCCTCTGTATTTTGTAGACTTTACAAATAAAGCAAGTTGGTTTTTTTTTTCCACAGCAGGAGTGTGTTTGGTCATTCTTGAACTTGGGACAGAGCCATGTCAGGTTTTCTGTCTCCCTCTGGCTTTGCTGCAGGACATGCTCGAGAATGTGCCCAAAAAAGATGGGATGGGGGATAGCTCATGGCTTTTTAGGACAAAACCAGATTTATAGTCTCTGAGAGAAAAGGGCCAAAAGAACATGCTTAATGCTGAATACCACCCCCCCAGGAGCAGTGCAGCTGTGTTGAATCAGCTTTTCCTGGGAAAGAATGCTTTTCACTACAAAAATTCCCTCCAGGCTGTCCTTGGACCAGGTGCAGGGCACCTGTGCCCAAAAACTTTGCTGCTGAGTGACCTTATCACCTTACCTGTGAACAGCAAGGAAATAAGCAGTGAGCTACCCACAGATGGCAGGAGAAGGGGAAGAAGTGTGGAAGGCACCTTATTGGGGAGATGAAGCCAGACCTCCTCCCTGTGTGGAAAAGCCATGCTTCCTCAGAGCTGAGCTGGAAGTGGTGAGCATGTTCCAAATTCCCAGGTGGGTCCCCAGCAGGCTGCAGCACTCAGGATGGTTTGGAGGTTTGACATTCCCATTCCCTCTGCCACTGCAAATGGCCCCAGCCCCAAACACTGCTCATGGAAGAAAATCCCAAAGCCATTGCTTGCTAGGGCCCTCTCCCTCCCATCACTGTTTCACAGTGAGAACCTAAGGAAGGATTCATCTCTACTCCAGGTTTTTGATTCATGGGTTTTACTCCTGCCTTGGGCCAGCAGTAGTGTCTCAGCCCAGAGTCCTGCAGTGATGCTTCTCCATCAGCTCCTACACAGATACCTGGAGCCTTCCTTCCGAGAAGAGGACAAGAGATCCTGACCCACCAAGCTTCAGTCCCTGCAAGGAGGAAAAACTCAGAGAAGTCACCCAGACAGCACCACACAGAGGCAGCTTAGGTACAATCTATATTATCTCTATATTTTTTATTTGTCATATTTGCTCATTTCTGTGGAGTATAACGTCACAAAGACCAAAATAGAGAGCGGCTTGTCGCTGAGCTCACATCAGTTAAACACAATAGGTACAAAACTAGGTGACTCTGTCTTATTTATCATACTTTTTTTCAGTCATTTATATACAAAGAACTACTCTATATGGAAAAATAATAAATCCCATGGGTATGTTACATAGTAAACAAAAAAGGAAGGAGAGCGGAAGCAGGTGAGGGAGAGCAGCTCCAAGGGTCTGCTCCTGGAACCAGCACGTTTCTTGGGTCCTTGGCTACCACGAGCAGACCAACAAGACCATGGATGCCTTGGCCTTCTTGGTCTCAAGCTTTGGATCTCATATTTGTTCCTCCAACACAAAGTGGCTTCAGAGCCACTGCTTGCTCTGGCACTTGCTGGTCATGAGGAAGAGCAGGAAGCTCAGTGATGGATGATTTTGTGTGGTGTTAAAAAACATATATATATATATATATATAAAAATTATAAAGTAGGGCAGCTGGCTTGTTGGGTACTAGCTCACCAGGCTCCTCCAAAGGCAGCTGGTGCAAAAGAGTTATAATTGAAACCATTACACACAGGATGCTTTAAGAATATCCAGATCTTCTGCACAGTGCATATATATACACATATATATATATGTGTGTGTGTGCAGGAAGCATTTCAAAATAAGTTCTAAGACATGCTTCTCTAAGCCTAGACCACCTTCATGCTCAATGGGGCAATCACACAGATTTCAGCCACCCAAATGCAACAAAGATTGGGGGCAGTAACCAAGTGATACTGGGACATCATCAAGACCTGCAAATGCAAAGAAAGGGGCAGATGGGATCATGTCCCATGCCCCAGTTTCCTAAGAGAGAGTAAAATCAGTATCTCACATTAAAGGAATATTAATCAAAGCCATAGAAAACAGAAGCAAAGTCTATTCAACCTTCAGTCCTGCTTTCCAAGCAGCTTATGCATGAGAAGTTTTACACCAAGCCCACACAAAGCCTGGCAGAATGTGTTTGCATGTTTAATTAAGCAGTCACAAACTTACGAAAATTAATAACCAACAGCATGGCATTGCAGAATGTGTGTGAATGGGGAAATCCAGCAGCAGAGAAGCTGCTGGATCCACTGACACTCCTCCAGCTCCCTCAAAGGTACTGCTGCTCCCACCTGTTTCACCATCCCCCAGAAGCATAAGTAGCGGAGGAGGCACTATCCTTAGGCTTTCCTCTACCTGATCCTCACAGCAAGGAGCAAACCTGCCTCTCTTCAAGCTCTTTTGCCCAGCTTGGGCAGAGGTGCTTAATAAATGAGGTGCTCTTCACTCACTGTCGCTTCTGAGACACTCAGTGAACAAGCAGATGGATCAGGAAACAAATGGAAAGGTAAACCCCAGGTAGCAAACCAGACTCCAGTTCTCCCAGCAGGACAGCAAGGAGCAATCAAGAATCACACAGGTCGGCTATCGGCAGGGGAGGCATAAAGCAGGAGAGGAATGGAGAAACTACAGCTGAACACAGTAGCTTGCTCCAATCTCTCAATTTTGCTTCCTGCTTGCACATAGGAGAATCTGAGCTATAGCACTTGAGTGTGCTGCCACTTTTCTCCTAGATAATTTTAAGCAAGCAAGAGGCATTTCCTGGTCCCTGGACAGATCTACAGAGGGATCTCTTTTGTTTTGGCTCCACTAAGTACCCATGGGTTCATCCAAAACCCAACATAAGCAAGGGGAAGCCTCTTCAACTTCTATGGATGCTGGTTGCACCCTTGACAGCACTGCAGGTGCAGCAGAGCCTGTGAAATGTGCAGCAGCAATTGCTGCCTGAGAAAATAAAAGGGACAGATTTGACCTGGCAGGTCATGTCAGGTTTCAAGTCTGCTCCGGTCTGCCCCAGAACAGCTACAGAGATAATAAACAAAGGAGTGTGCATCATTCCTTCCTGAATATTCCAGCCTAAGGGTGAAACTTGTGTAGCTCGGGGAAAGTCAGTGATGATGAGCATGGGGAGAGCTGCCTGTGAGAGACCAGGACCTGCTCTGGCAGCTACCTCTAACAGGGGCAGACGTAATGCTGGGGGACAGGAAACAAGAAGAAAAACTGGTTTTGTGTTTACATATCTTCCCTTCCCAAAGAGGGGTGAAGAAGCCAGAGCTCTACAAACTTTCACCATCTATCATAGCCAGTCCTGAGAGTTGCTAGCAGGAGAAAGATGCTCCAGGGAGGCTTCCTGCCACAGGAACATCAGGGAGATGGGAAGCTTGGACACCTGGTGATTAAAACACTCAACCCTTGTGAAAAGATAATTCCATCCCCACTGAGCTTCAACAAGCTTTTATAACAACTGGGGATGCAGACGGCCAAGGAACATGAAGAAACTCTGTCCTTTTCTCCCTTGCTCCTTCAAGTGACTCCAGGACTTATAACTAGGTGCTCAGGAGGATGGGGACAGATGCTCCTTACTCAGCACTCAGGGCAATGGCTATTTAGAAATACCGGTCTCTGATCTGGTCCTCAGGAACGCGCTTATGGCTGCATCCCCATCCTATTTCCCAAGGATCACTGAGATGTTAGTACCAGGGCACTGGAGAGAAAAACTGTGCCTACATCAACCATTCAGGAAAAGAATTAGAAAGCAGTCAGGTTGTCCTGTTAGAAAAAAAACCAAAAACATTTTTGGTTACAACTCTAGGCTCTGGTCAGTCACACTCCACACCAAGCTGGGCAGGTGTGGGAAGCCAGAGCCCCAAATCCTGGAGCTTTGCTTGAATCAATTCAAATTGATTGCTGCCATAAAGAATGGGCTCGAGTATGGAGTCCTGGCCATTCTGCCACCTCCGCACTGCTCATTGTGTCCGTACCCACAAAAGCTAATGGGAAGTGCCAACTTCTGCAATCTTTACTCTCTAGGAAGTGATATGACTTGTTTCTGCATTAATAAATTATTAAAAAAAAAAAAAAGGAAAATGACAGCCTGTGCTGGCAGCTTCCCCTCCTAGAATTCATCATCGGAGCTCAGCAAGAGGGTCTTCTCGTTGTCACGGGCACCGGAGCAGCTGTGGGAGCGCGAGATCACATGGCTGCCGTTGCGCCAGGGGGGACCGTGCTCCAGTGTCGACTGCTGGGTGTACTGCTGGTAGGCTGGAGAGAAGTTGTGGATCGCATCTTGGACAATGTCATGGGGATTCATCGTCTCCTTGAGGCTGCTGGAGATGCTCTTCATGGGAGCACAGCGACCTGTTTGGATAAGACGGGAAGGGGCAAGTAAAGAACACTGCTGCCTTCCCCACACCCCTTAATGTGAAAGTAAGGAGAACAGGGAACATGCAGTCCTAGATCCCGCAAAAGGTGCGTTACAGACTTCCTTACGCAGCTGCTGAGGAAATGCCACACAAATAGTGTTGAGTTTTACCAGTGGTGCTCCTAAACCCAGACACTGTGAGCCAAGTGAATCTATCACAGCATCAAACAGGGAACATACCATGGGAATGGGACACACCAACAGTGACAACCTCCACTACACACTACTGGTGCTGGCCTGGGTGTGCAATGAATACAGTCAGGTAGGGAGGTGCTCCTCCAAACACTTTCAGAAGACAAAAACTAAGTAAATTCTAAAAATATAGAAGAAATGGCATTTGCCATTGACTCACTGCAAATTAAGACTGCTAGGTAGTATCAAAGTGCCCATGGGAAAGAGATCATACGAGTAAAAAGCAGCACAAAGTAAGGAAACGAGGGAAACAGGCAGTACTAGAGGCACAACTACCCCATGTGTCATGGTGATACCATGAAGAAAGCAGTAGATGGAGAATGTACCACCCAAGTGCTAAGCACAGAGGGAAGGTGTGTCTCCTTCTAGGAGGTGCCATGTCTCATGGCTTCTAGGCTCCTTTTCCAGTGTGGGCTTCTGGCTCTGCTTAGTTCTGGGGATGAGCTCCCAAGAGAACCAAAGTATGCTGATCATCTGTGGCAATTATAAAAGTGAAGGGAGGCTGCACAACTCTTCAGAGAGAGATTCCCACAGCTCTGACACAAATGCTCTAAAGCTATGTGTTAATGCCCACACAGCTGTTTTACTACTTGTAATCCAGACAACCCTAAAGCAGCTGTATGAGGCAGTGGAGTCACAGACTTGCAAGGAAAGGGGAACAAGGGACAGGGCAGGTTGTAGGAAGGCTGGGAATCAGGAGATAACAGCATCCCAGCTAAATACCAACTGAGACAAACACACAAAGCATGCTGTACCTACCGTATGGCCCATATGATGGAACAGCTGCCAAATCAGGGACCAGTGGCCAAAGCAAGGGAGAGATAAAAGGAAGAAGAGAGAAAGACAGAGACAGAGAAAGAGGAAATAACAAGAACTGAACAAGGCCCACTGCAGAAACATTCCCCACTGTACTGACCTGTAGTTTACCCTTTCATCACCCATAGATCTCATCTCCCCCCACTGCAACCACTGTTTTTCCAAAACCTCTGGGGCTGGCTGGGATGGAGGAGTCACCTCCATTGACACTGTCCAAGGGTTGCTGTGTTCCAGCGCCTTGGCACAGATCTCCCCCAGGATGAAGGAATCCCTTTATTTGGAAAACACTGCATGGACTAGTGTTTTCCACACTAGGCACAAAAGCCCCTTTTCCCCAAGACAACATCCATCTTCCTCTTCCCCAAAGGAAGAATCTTCCTTATAGCCGCCCAGCCCTCACAAAGTCATTACAGGAAGATCCTCCTCCTCTGTGACACACATATTGCCAAAGCACAGCCTCATCTTCCCAAGCCAGATTCAAAACAGAGCCTGGTTTAGACCCTGTCCCTCCTGCCTTCAGTCTGTTACACAATCTGGAGCAATGGAGTTCCCCTTTGGGGAGACAGGAAGAAGGACAAACCCATTCTACTGAAACAATGCAACATCTTACAGCCCTCAGGTCTGCAACAAGTTGTCGTGGGTGGCATAGTGGGGAACTGAAAAAGGAACAGTGCAATTCAGGCAAGGTTTCTGCCCTGGAGGGCTGTTGCACAATAGATCTGTTCAGACACCACATAGGAGGGGATGTGGTGTTTTCCAAGCTATCTGGTTGGGAGTCATATCAGCGTCCTGGCTGCCTGAGGGACCGGTCTCCACCCAGTCTTACTACCAAAGAGACAAGCCATATGCACTGGCATGCGTCCTACCTTGGGCATCGATTCTCTTGTCCACATACACCTTGTATGTGAAGGCATGGCGCAGGGCAATGGCTGCAAAGAACATCTCCACACAAATGATGAAGTCTTGATAGCCAGCAGCTACTGTGCCTTCACCCACAGACACATTAGCAGAGTGAATTTTGGGGATGGCACCACACTTTTCCAAGATGGCCAACAGCATCCCTAAACAAAGTAATAAGTTCATGTAAAAATACAGAAAACATGGTCTCACAGTAACTGCAAAGAATGGAAATAGCTGTTTGTGCTGTATGTCCTAGACACTAGCTCACTCACCGCAGGAGCTACAGAGTGGGCTACAAACATGCACCTATGGTCACTTGTACAACAGAGAAAGGAAAAATAAAATTAGACAAATACATTTAGGCAAAGAATGTTCAAACACTGATCCTCTTCTATCCTCAACTAACACATAAACTGTGTAACTAACTGCTGTAGGACTTAGTCAAGTCCAAAAGGGTAAGAGGAGTCAGATATTTCTGTAAGCAATCCTGTGATCTCAGTGTTGTCCCAAAATAGGTTCTTTCACACAGTGTGCAAGAGGCCAATCCACACAAAGAGTCAAGGTATTTGGCTTATTTACAGATCTGCATAGAAAGGGGTGCTGGCTGGCAAATCCACAAAGCCAGCATGATGACTACCAAAGCTTTTTGCTATTTATACATTTTTCCAAACAAAGCCACTAATGTTCCTCGGCTAAAACTTACCTAATTCTCTTTTTAATTAGTATTATGTCTTCTATCGGTTAACGAACCTCTCCCTGCTCATGCTAATTAGCCTGCATGCTCAATCTCCCTCTCCTTTCGAGCCGGTGGTTTCTTGGGTCAGCGGCCATGATCTCCCCCTGCCAGAATTACCTTTTACTCTGTTGGAGCTGATTCAGCACAGCTGCTGAGCTTCTTTATTAGTTTCTTCCTTACTTTGGGGGTTCTGCCAAATGTCTTTGTGGCTTGTAAATTCTGCATTCTTCGTGTCCACTATCTGTGGTACGTCCCTCTTCCCAAACGTTGTTAACCTTCCCTGAGGTCACTGAAAAACGCTGATCCCTAAACCTTAACAAGGCAGTTCTAGTGTCAAGAAATTCATCTTTCTAACACCTGGACATCACTCGGAGTTTGTTTGTTAGCTCCTGTTTCACAGATTAAACCTCTTTTCATGTTGATTAGACTTGAAAGCACACAAGGATCAAACACCAAAGAACATCCCTTCTTAAGAAAAATTTGACACATTCCATATTTTGCAACATCAGCACTTGCACTAGCTAGAATAAAAACTGAAGTAACAGAACTTTTAATTTAAGCATACTAGTGTTTTTGACAAACCACTGTAAGAAAGAGGTTTCTCCCTGTCCACAGCTTAGTGGCTGAAGAATTTCAGAGAAGACAAAGTGTGTGACCAGATGCCTCAAGATGATAAACCAGACAGCTTACTAGTTTGTCTGTAAACAGGGAGGATGGGCTATACTCCAACAGCCTGAATTCCACCTAAGTTCCTACTCAATTAGTCTTTGAAGTGCAACTCAGTAAACCTAAGTAGGGCATTGAACAGGGAAATGCTCTGAGCCAATTAGTCAGAAGCACTAAGCTTAGGTGGAATTTCAACTTTCCGACTGTGTCTCTGCTTCATGTGTATGAATTCTGAGTGTCCTCCCAGCAGTGGTTCTGTGGCAGTACACACTGCATCCAGCTAGCTTGCTCTTTCACATACACCACAGACATACCATTAAAATTTTATTCAGAGAGCACTAAAAAAAGGACTAAAACTTTTTATATATGTCAGTTTATCAATAAAATGGCAGCATGCAAATAAAATGTTGGCAGCTTGTGCTTTATGATTGTTTCAGGAATGCAGAGAACTCTTTACCCTATCACCTGATTTTGCCAAATACATGTTCTTGTGCACACATACACACAGGGATAATGAGGATTCAGGAGCATATAAACAAAAATTAAACCGAGCAAAACAGCTTTCCCAGAGAAAAGCAATGAATGACTATAAACCAAATGGAATACAGAAAGACATTTTGTCTATTAATCAACATCTGCTCTTGTGTCTGAGCCCCTGCAGAGAGCTCTCTGTGTCTACCAAGGGAAGGGAAAAGCAGCTCACCTTGCCAGAAGGACAGGAAGATGACAGACTTCACCATGAAGAACTTGAGGACTGGGCTATAGGGACTGAGCAGCTCACGTGTGGCAAAGTAGAAAAGGAAGAGGGCATACAGTGCCAGGCTGACAGAGATGTTGTAGATGATCGTCACATAGAGGTAGCCACTGGTTACACTGAAAAGAGAAGATATATATGAATGTCTGAAACTTCAGCATGTTTTCCCCTTGGTACAGTCAATGGGAAGTTCCAAAAGTGCATTTCTTTCCTGCCTCCCTGTCCCATTCCCACCCCCAAACCAAGGCAGAAAAATTATGAAACTAAAAGGGGGCTACCTCTGCCTTCTTTTCTCATGCACATTAACCCATGTAGTCCCATCTCTTCCCAGCACACACATGAACAATAAGCAAAGCCAGGCAGAGAAAGGACAGACAAATCTTGCATGCTAAATAAAAAAACTTACTCAAAGTCACCATCCTGGTACTTGCCAAAGGCCTGAAGGATGACTGTGCTGATCGCCATGAGGGGCTTCACCACACAGAACTGCAGGGTAGCCTACAGGAATAAGAGGGGAGGAATGAGGAGGCAGGCGGTGCAAGAGGACAAGCTGCCAACAGCATCACGATGGAATGTCCACTGGGACCACTCAGCAAGGCAACACAATCCAGCCCCAACAAGATGTCTGACCCTGCCACTTGCTAATTGATTGTGCTTGAGGACTGTAGCACCCAAAAGGAGATGAAGGGGCTTCAGAAGATGTACATGTGCTATCTGCTTGTCCAGAATGGGAAGAAAAACCTCTCTGTAGGGTTGTTCTGAGAAGCTGTCAGCCCACTCTTCCAGAGCTGCTTTTCACAGGCTGTGCTGCAGCACACTTATGCACTGTAACAGTATGAACAACAAAATAATCTCACACTGTGCTATGGCACAGACACAGCAAGTTGAACATAGGAAGGAAAGCAAACCCCAGTCCATAGCTGTCACAAAGTCAGGCAAGAAAGTCCCATGGATCAGAGGGGAACCCCACTGTTCGAAGAGGAACTTCTGACAACTGCCACAATATTCAGGCATTTTGTAAACACAACGATGTGTGTTGCCACACACAAGTTAATAGCTATTCTGTTGTCATCCACATGACCTTTACTGAATATCCCCAAAGATTCCGTGGCACTTGGGATCAGCTATGTCCATTCTGCCTGTATAAACTACTGCTCCTATTGGGACTGAGTGTTCTCTCAAAGCCACTGCATTCCTTAACTTTCTGCAGATGCTGAACTTCAAAGTCCTAAAAAAAGGAAAGACTTATGGCCCTAAAAATGTCTCCCTGAAGAGATGTGACCTGTGTCTCCCTGAAGGAGGCTGGAAGAGCCTGGGTAGGTGCTGACCTGTGTGCATGTGGGGAGGGCTATGTATGGCAAGAAGGTAAAACCAAACAGTAATAATTGCTTTGGATACGATGCAATTTGTTAGTGGTCATAAGACTTCAAGGAGATTAAAAACCCCAGCACATGCCAGTTAGTGAGTCACTTTAAATATGTGAACTGGAAAAGGTCAAGCTAATTGGTAAACAACTCCATCCTCTGAGCTTCCCCTCCTTCTGATCTGGGGACATTTTAACCATTTCCCTGCAATTCAAACCACCATGTACTATTTTTAGGCGCTTCCCTAGAAGATGCTATAGCATATGGGAAGCACATGGATAGTGTGTGACCCTTGTGTGGGTCACCAGACAGAGGCCCAGCAAAGAATCTTGATCAAGACATCTTTAAGGAAACAAGCTGTTCATATTTCACACCACAGGCAGCCGCATGCCACCACACTGCTGGAGGTCCACAGGCATCACAGGCAGACTGACTGACCCACAACAGGCCTGAGAAAAGTTGTGGGGGGACAGTGTGAAGGTGGTAAGAAAAGAGATTTATACACACAGATTCCTTCAGGATAAAAGGGACCAGAAAGAGCAGAAAATGGGCAGGTGGTGATGGGAGGCAAAAGAAGTGCTGGAGATACTGAGAACAAGGCTAAAAAGGGCAAGGTGTTCCTTTCAGCACATTCCTCTCCTGATCATCACCATGGTGGATACTGCACAGGTCTGCACTGACATTTGTTCTGTTGCCCTTTCACACCGGCCTTCCCAGGAATTTGCCTTGAAAAGTCTTCTCCAAAAATCCTGGAAGTCTAGAAGTACCAGAAAGTGAACCTTGGCATCAACAATTTCTCACCAAGACAATATTTAAGTTCCAGCCAAGAAGGATGGAAGTATTTAATCATCTCCTTGCAATACACCTCCCTCACAGCCTCCACAACAGGAGTGCAGATTTAGCAGTTAGCAAAGGCCAGGCATGAGTAAAAAAAATTGCTACCAGATACCAGCAAAAGGAAAGCAAAATATCTACCAAAGACTGAGTTACCAAACAAGCTGGGATTTGTGGAGGCCAGCAGAAAAAAAAAAAAATACACCTTCTCCATTCCCCAAGGTATGCTTCTAGTCTTCACTGTTGTGAACAAGCTTTCCAAACACAGACATGTGCAACCCAGGTAGTGACTGCAAGAGACTGTGGGACATGAGAAGCAAGAAGTCTAAGGGAAATTATTTCTCCAGCATTCATTCACTTTCATGGGTGTTACATCTGCTTAGAATACATTTAAAAGGTAAAAATTAACATTAGGAGCAGTAAGAATAGGTAATGCAGTCAATCAACCAAAGGGTGTCCAGATGAAACCCATGGGAAACAGCTGAAGCAACATAGTGGGTTCAGACTAGAAAAGTATGAGGCAAGAAAACAGAAAATCTGTAAGGACAAAATATGGGGCAGGGACAAATAGAACAGACATGCAAAATAAATGGTCCCTTGAAAATGGCCACTTGTGCACCACAGCTTAACACTGGATATTACCACGAGACTGCACTGTACTTTTGATGTTCCTGCATATTGCTAAGACACAGAAGATGGGCCATGATGTTCAGGAGAAGCCAGGGCAGATATCTAGATCTGCTGACTGAAATTACAGTGACCCGAGTCCTTTCAAAGAACCAGACCTGCTTCACACTGCCTCCACAGAAACCTCCTGTGTTCATTTCAGCAAGTGAGCAAAGCCTTGAAATTCACCTGCTGTTTCATGACAGCCAGAGGTGACTGACCTGCAATGAGCAGACAAGGGCTGTATAGAAGTTTAGGCCTCCCCCATTCACCCGCCCTCGTCATACTCAGTTCAGCACAGACAGACACACATGGTGAGCAATACTTGGTTCCTCCTACAAAACAATGTGTCATGCTTAACCTCCACCCCTCCTCAGCTCCAAACCACAACAGCAGCACTGGGAATTCAGGAGGCTGTTACACAACTGTGGGGTGTCTGCGACACAACAGACATTCTTAGAGCTGGGATCTCTGTCATCCAGAAATGCAAAGAGTTTCTTCCTAGGATTATCATCTGTTCCAGGAGATAACTTGTCTCTTAAACTAAGGCCTTCCTGATGTGGGGTTGAGTAGAAAATGTTAAAATCATTCTTAACATATTTAACTAATTCTTAACAAACAAGCCAACCCTGAAACACCTCCTCTTCTCAGAAGTCCGCAGACCTCTCAAAATGCTATTAGAGCCCCCTGCCCAAAAAGATCTCAGAAATTCAGCAACAAAAGGCACCATTGCCACCCTCACACACTTAATTTCTGCAGAATGTCCCAGCCCATACCTGTTTGCAGAATCTCAGGAAGCCAATTGAATAGGTCTTTCCCCACAGGCAGCAAGTCCCGTACACACAGCTAGACCTGAAAGAACCAACACAAGATGACAGAGTTCACAAGCAAGACTTAGACAAGTGTGCAAATCTTTATCTACCTCTCTGTAGCAAAGTTGCAGGACTGGTGCTTTCTCCAACAATGACCGCAGTTATGGCCATACCCTCTTCTAGACACGTGTCTAAAACAACATCTTGACTATACACTGCAATTTTTTTTCTTGTCACTGAGCAGCATGGGGAGAAATATAGATCCTAGAGGAGACACACAGAATCAACTGAAGACAGAAAAGATTTAAAGGAGGAGAAGGGAATAAGAAAATAAAGAAAGGAATAGGCAGATGTCCAGAAAAACTGTGAATCAGTCCAGCTTGCCTAAGAGGATGTGATCAGCCTGATCTGTCTCAGAGTAAGGTACTGGCAAATCATCATCATCCATGCTGCCCAGTTCCAGTAGACATTTGCCACCTGACACAGTTTTTCAGGACAGGGATAGAGAAATAGTAGATGGGCATAGAAGGAGGACAGCGTCATGCTGTAAGCACAATAAATACTCACTCAATTGGTTTCCCTCTGATCTCAGACATGATGGAGCTCTCCCCTCCCAAGTACTCATAGCAGAGGCTGAGAAAGTTGTATATTACAAAGGCTGCAACGACATCAATCACAGTAAAATGACAACCAACTTCAAAACAGGTGCAAGGACCAAGAGGACAGGCAATAGACCAAACATTAGCAGGGACTGCTTATGCAGCACCTTTCTCTTCAAAGCACTCCAGATTTTCACTGCATGTATCATCCTACCTCAGCACTCAGAACACTATCTGAATGAGAGTCTGGCCAAGGTCCCAGGCCAGTTCCATGACTCATGCCAAAAGGGTCACAGAACCATTTAAAACTGTGGTCAGTCTCTGTTTTATTTGGCATCTGTAAGATGCCATTCTTTATAGGGTTCCTGTGCATTATTTCAGGACATAACACTGGTACTAAATAATCTGGAAAAGGTATTTCTGATCCATCAGCCATATGTTATCTCCTGTGTTTAACCTTTTAGCTGATGAACACAGTTTGTCTCTACCAGGTAACCCAACTATTGACATAAAAGTTGGAGAAACAGAGAGCTTATAACAATCAGTGAAACTCTGTTTTCATGTCTTGTGGGGACTTTTGCAAAACAAGCTCTGTGCTTCATTTTCTCAAAAAAGATGAAATTTCTTGTGTGCTGAATAAACTTCTCCTTAGGCCACTTCTTTTCCACCTTCCCCACAAATCTGTTACAGATGACAAACAGACTGACCACTAACACTCTGCCCTATTTCAGTTCCCCATAACTACTGATGTATCTCCTTTTCATGGGATCCAAACTCACTTAAATTTGCATGAAGTGAGCCTGCATACACCCATGAGAGTGTATGCCACTCTCTTGACTTGTTATAATTGCTGTTGGACCCTTGAAGTTGAGAGATTTTTTTAGGGCAAGGACTGTACTTCTGCATTTGATACAGACAGCCCTGGGGCAAAATGACAGACTAGATGACCCTTCTTGCAACATTATATTCTATCACCTGTATCTGGACATTCCCTGGAATGTCAACACCCAAATCCTGTTTTTTGCCCCAGATAACTGGGATAGAAACAGCAGTCTCAAGGAACTTTAAAATAAGAACAGAAACTTAATAATGTATAACACTGATAAGCTGATCTCCCTAAGCAGCCAGTAATTATGAAACAGGGGATTTAAGGGTTAATAGGGAATTTAGAATGATTTAGGCAATGGATACATTAAAATACGGTATACATTATTCTACCAGTACGGGGACCCTCTGAAGAAAATCTGTTACCCATTAAAATTATGCTGAGCCAGCAAAAAGAAGGGGAGCCTCTGATGAAGATCGCTGGGCTTGCTAAAAATGCAAAGCAAAAAGGCGACTGCGCACGCAAAGACATCCGAGTTCGAAAGTTCAATAGTGAGGAAGACTATGGAAGCTTTGTCCCATCGGACCCCAGACTCATTTTTGAGACCACTGACTCAATAAAAGAACAAACTATGAAGTGGCAGCTAATTTCCATACCATGCGGAGAAAGGGCGGGGATATATGTATAGGCACTATAGAATATGCATGACTTTTGTGAATAAATAAGGCATTGAGGAAGCTGGGGTACACAGGATTTGGGAAGGTTCTGCTCCCCCTGTGTCCAGCGCTGAATAAAATACCTACCTACTTTACAACCCTTGGTTGTGGAGTTATTACCGCATATCAATTAGACCTGAGGTCAATTTTTCCACATGAATGATCTTCCAAAGTCAGACAAATTCTTCTATAAGCATCTAAACTATGCCCTGGCAAAAAGATACTCCATGGTCCCCAAAACACTTATAGTCTCACAACATTGTACTTATGGCTTGTAGCCATGTCTAGCTAGCAAGACTGCTATGGCACATAAAAGCCAGTGGCATACATGCTTCTAAGTATGCAATTGGGATATTGTTATTCTATCTGTAACCCTTACTACTGAACAAAGTTCACACAGTAATAATTTTGCCAAAGCTTTAATTAGGACAGAAAACACCAACCATGGAAAAATTATTTAAATAACTGTGGTAACTCTTTTTGCCTTCAATTTTCCTGCAACTTAACAGACAGCACCCAGCACCCAGAGGAAGAAAAGCTAAGCTTTTCCTATTGTCCTCCAGTGACCCCTGCCCTCTGATGTAGTCATTACAATACCTGCTGCCGGTATTTTCCCTAGTGCTTCACCAAGCACTAGGGAAAAGATGACATCAGAGGAAGAAAACAAAACAAAACAGAGAAATATCTGCCCATTCATCCCCAAAGTAAGTGCTAACTAGCAAAGCTCATCACACTAGCAAAGAACTCTTCTCCCATTCCTGATCCACATCCATCAGATGGTACTAATGATACCAACATAACAAAAAAACCCAAACAAACCCTACTTGTGTCAGTGCTTCCGACACCCTGGTTTGTACAGAAGCAGTCACATTAAAGAGCAAAACCAGAACAGGCTCCTCCTGACAAAGTCCATAAATGGCTTAAGACAGCTTTCAAAATTTATTAGTAAGGTCTTCTTCCACCATTCCCTAATAGCCCACTTTGCAATGTAAAACATTTCCAAAATATAAAGAAGGTGGATGGCAAGAGACAAAAAGGCTGCTTTGAAGCAATCCCCAGAAAAAGTGAGGGAGAGAATCTGCTTTCCAAAGGTATCTTCACTTCCACTTGTAGTTTTCTCACACAGGCCAACATGCCGAGGTGAACTAAAGAGAGCACCGGCAGCGTGCTGATCAGATGCTCAAATGCTTGCAAACTCCCAGAGCAAGGGAGGCAGAGGGATAGTGGCTGTTGCCAGGAGAGCAGCAGGCTTCCTGCTAGACCTATACACACAGGGCGGGGAAAGAAAAAAACCCAAGCCCCAAACAAAGACGCTTTCTTGCATCATGTGTGCACATTTGCCATCTGCTGCTGCATCCAGTGCATTGCTGTGGACGTGAAGAAAGGCCTGCTGGTCTCTTCAGCTGATTAACTTGTTCACATGGCCAGGGGCAGCTGTCTGCATTGCAGACCTCAGCAAAACAACTGTATCAATCATTTAGAATTTAATAAGGGTATGGTGATAAATTGTCCTCAAAAAGACACAGCTAGAGTGCAGTATCTCCTACTGAGTGAGTAGAGGCTTCTTACAGGATGAGACTAGGAGGGAAGTTACAATAGCATTTACAGGAAAGTAACCATTTCCCTCACATACAGTGCTAGTGGTATTACATCACTGCAGCAGATAACCAAAACCAAGCAGGTGCTGATCCTGAACATGGCACCTTCTCTTCTACAGGACTCCAAAGCACTTTACACTTTACCAGCCCCAGCACCTGGCCACTGTGATACCCTGTGCAAGTACACAAGTAGCCACAGGATGGGACCAGAAGAATACACTAACAAGCTGCACCAGGAACACAGGATAAAGCAAGTGGCTTGGCTGCTAAGTGCTGTTAAAAGAGACAGGAGCTAAGCAATACATCACTTTCTAACACCCAGATACCATCAGATTTTTTGGCTTCTCCAAAATCTTTTACCTTCCTGAAGAAAAGGACCCCAGAAAACCATAAACTTAAGTCTCTACAGAACCCTGGAGGGAAGGCTTATGCTCAGAGGCCAGTGAGGGAGAGAGTCAAGTTGGACAGGGCTTTGAGCAACTTCATCTAGTGAAAGATGCCCCAGACCATAGCAGGGGTGCTCCACTAGATTATCTTTAATGGTCCATCCTGAGACAAACCATCCTACCATTCTATGATTTTCAGTCACTAAGGAAGCCATGGTCATCCAGCTGGGCACACCATTCAGCAGGTGACAGCAATGCTCTCTCCAGAAATGCAGCTCTCAACCAGAAATAAAGTTCTCTCAGGGCAGAGACCTCCCACCCTCCCCATTTTCTGTCTGACCCCTCCTTACCTTCATAGCAGTCCCGCACCGTGCCAAAGTAAACATAGTACTGGTCATTGGTGAAGAACAGGAGACTGAGCCATGAGTCAAAGGCATAAATGGGCACAATGAAGAGGATCCGAACAATGTAGCGCTGTTCATTTGGGCAGCTGTAGCAGCGGAGATGCATGTAGATCTGAGAGACGGAGAGGGGAGACCAGGATCAGCGGTATATGGAGCAGAGAGGAGAAAGAACAGGAGAGTCAACTGGGCCAGGAAAAACAAACTCAGTAAATCACCTCTCGATTGCCTCCAGCAGCCTCAAGGTGATGAACATAAAAGAAAAGATAAATCACTGTTATCATATGGCATTGATATAGCAACCCTTGGTTTGCAGACAGGGGGAAGGAGAGGGAAGAGAAAAGGAAGGCATTTCTAATCTAGTTTCTTATAAGGAATTGATTTATTTTGACATCACCTTGCCCACATTCTTTTTGTTCACACCTTTTTTCCCAGTCATCAGTTCTACATTCCTGCTATCCTCTTTTAAGTACCTAAGATTCATAACACTGTTCTTCTCTGAAAAGGGAAGGTGCACACACTTTTTGTGAACACTCACTCTTTTGGCTGTTTTGGATGCTTCTTGAGACTTTCACTTAAAACAACCTAAGAGAGCCCTTTACAGCACATCTGCTCAAAAATTCTGCACATGGGTGATAGCACAGCCACAAAGGGTCAGCCATCAAGGGAGCACTGAGCTCATGCAGTGTGCTCAAAGGAACCACACAGTTTGTTCTGTCTGACTGCACACATGCCAATCCCTGTAAGTCACTGGCTGGGGGGAGTACAGCATCCCCACCCTTCCCGCTCCCACTACTCACAGTTCCTTAGCCATCATTAAATCCCAGGCCTAAGATGCTTTTTTACAGAATACCCACCTCCACGAAAAGGTATTGACCACAAGCACACCCTGAAGATGAGCACACCCCCAGTAATGCCCTAATAACACAGGGTAGAGCTTCAGCACAATTTGTAGGTACACTCTCTTGACCACGAAGACAGGAGAGGCAAGGCCTCTGTACAGCAATTCTCACTGAACTGCTGTCCCAGCTACTGGAATTAGTAACAACCAGCTGATTACATATGTGCCTCACCACTGACTGATTCTGCTGCCTGAAGAGGTACAAGCATTTGTTTGAAGCTTCACCCCGCATTTTGGGGTGCTGTGAGGATTCTCCAGAGACTGAAAAAACATACACTAACAATCCCATGTAAGGGAGGGGGCTTATGTCTCCCCAGCTGTCTGTTGCTTGTTCCTCCCTGGCCAAAACTGACTGAAGGGCTCAAAAATACTTCTGTTTCCTTTCGCTATGAAGTGCTCAAAAATACTTCCAATTCCTCTTCTTAACCCATGAGAAGCTCATAAAAAGCTCATTTCCTGAGGAGAACAGGTTGAAAATAAGCTAACAAACCTTAGAGATATTTTTGCCTTGCGACAATCCCAGTGACACATCTCATCCAGCACACAGACAGCTGACACCAGAGTTCAGATGACTCCAAGCTTTGCCCTTGGGATGTCAAAAGAGCCCAGTGATCCATGTGCCTAGGAGAGCACAGGACCTGCTGCTGTGTAAGAGGACAACAGTGCATTTCAATCAATAGGTCTCCCTGACACTGACCTCCATGGGTTTCTTCAGAGAAGGGCATTAATGCCTAACTGTGCAATGTTATAAGCAGAGGAAAATTTCCTCCTACCCTCAGCAGGTGATCAATTTGACAGGAGGATCTATTGCACTTGTAATTGTTACCCAAGCTGGTGAAACTGCAGGTGTTATTCTTATTCATCTGTGACTAATCCATTTTTTACCTTCACTAGCCCCTGTACTCCATCAATAGGCTGTACTTTTCTACATTCTAGTCATCACTCTGGAATCTACAATCCAACAGGTAAAAAACATGGGTTGACAAATAACAGGGCTTCTGTTTCCCCACTGTATTTTTCAGTTCACATGACAACTGCATGAAAGAGAGGTACAGAACAGGATGCAGGGTTTAGCTTATTCAGTCTCCCAGGACACCTGCCTCAGAGAGAGGGGAGGAGGAAAAATTAAAATGAAACATTTCCTGCTACTCCTTTCCGCAGCAGAGCTCAGCCTGTGGAATCCACTGGCACAGGAGATCAAAGGAGGAATGTCAAACAACAGGTGACTAGGATCTTTTAGCTAACAGCTGACACAATTTTAAAAATGGCAATATTCAGCTAAAGTCCTGTGAAAGGATGACCTAAGATAACACACCTTTCTGCAAACCTTCAAGAGATGGCCAAATGTTTTACACCTGCTAGTTTTAAAGAGTGTGCTTCCTCTCCATTCACACTACGGAAATGGTCTCTTCTTCATGTGAGGAAAAGGAAAGGATGAGAAATACAAGTGACAGGGTTTTACCTGATGGCAGGTGATGAGCAAAGCTGTCCATACAAAGAAACCTGAGATAGCCTGAGCAGCAGTGGTCATGAGGAATATTGGCTGCTCCACAGCCGTGGGGCTGCCATCCTCTGGCACCCAGGAGAAGTTAGGAGCCACAGCTGGAGTGGTGGCAGCTGACCCCAGTCTGGGGGCTGCAGTGACATCAGTCATCATAATCATGGTGCCTTTTGGTGTGAGGTTCCAGTTGGGATTGCTAAAGAGCTGCCCACGGGCCAAGACCTGTCAGGGAAGAGAACCACAAAGCAATTGAACACAGCTGAAAGGAGTCAGGAATGTAATAGAACTTTGCATCTCTCACATGCCTTCCACCAGGCTGCTCGCATGCTTTGTGAACAGGACCTGGGTAAGTCTGACACTGCCACCCCTCGTGATGTAACAGATCATGTGGTACTCAAGAACCTCTGACAACCCCCCAGAGACCATAAAATCTGGCCACTGCCATCATCACCATCCTTCTGCAATAAAAATATATAAGATGAATATAGCATTCACCAGAGATCACAGAATCATAGAATGGTTTGGGTTGGAAAGGACCTTAAAGACCATCTAGTTCCAAGCCCTGTGCTATGGGCCAGGGACTCCTTCCACCACGTTGCTCAAGAGACAAACCTGACCCTCTACACTTCGAAGGATGGAGCATCCATAAGTCCTCTGGGCAACCTGTGCCACTATCTCACCTCTCTCACAGCAAAGAATTTCTTCCTAATATTTAATTTAACCTACTCTCAATTTAAAGCCATTTCCCATAGTCCCATCACTACACACCCTTGTAAAAAGATCAGAAGGAAGTATCTAAACCATTCCTACTGGAAGACGACAGGCACACCTAAGTTAACATCTCTATTTTCCATAAGGGTACAGGCTATTCTGCTGTTTCTTAGTGTCATGGTTAGCCTGCCAAGCAGCAACAAGCAACAAGAATATGTGCCACAGTGTTCCTGCACAGAAAGGGAGCAGGGGGAAGAACATTCTAATTCCTCCAGCCAGCAATGCCCACCTCTCCTACAGCCATGCTGAAAACCATACTCAGCCCAAAGCATTGAAGGATATGCACTGAAAGCTCTTCTCACTTTGACAGTGTGAACAGCATGAAAGTCATGCTTTTATCAAAATTTGTTTGACATAATACATTTAGCCAGCCTATTATTGATGTTACTAACTTAGCATTGTTTTCTATATTATGTGAATTTAACCTGACTGGCTTTTAGAAGCCAGCTGACAGATAAAAAACACATACCAAACACAAGAATATGCAAGATTTCAAAACAGCATGACCCTTGGCCATTTCCTGGCTAAAAAGCTATGTTCTTTCAATGGAACAAATTCTTGAAGGTCTAAGATCTAAAGTAGCTATTATTTTCAATTTGGTCATAAGCAGACTCTAGTGTGACCTCTGGATTGTAGGAAGATAATCCACTTAAACCAAAATCACAAGCAGGCAGCCATTGGTTCTATCCATTAGAAGAGCTGCTTCTGATGTGCCTATCAAAGGGAACAGCATAATATTGCCTTCTTCTGATAACCTCCTAATATTCTTCAGAAGAACAATTCCATAAAAGCTCAAGTCACTGCTTTTACACAGTGGATGGAAAGGGCTTTAGAAAGGCCAATGATCCACCATCAGAGTTTACAGCTGCACCAGGGAAGGACACATTTGTCATCTACTGACAGGTTGCTACAGAACACAAAAGAGAATATATGTTCACAGAGGAACTGCCCCAGCCCTGCTCCACCTGAAGTCACAGCACAAACTAGGGAACAGGTACCCAACAAAAGCAGAGTGCCAGTAGCAAGTCCTTTCCACATGCACACTAAGGCACAAAAATGGCCCCTTTAGCACAGACTTTTCCAAAACACACACTCGTATCACTGGTGTGCAGCAGTCTGATGTTACCTTATGTCACACTCCACCTCCTTTCTTCCGTGGGGGAAAAAGAAAAGTCCTGGGAAATACTCAGATTTGTTTAAGCATATCTTATTATAGGCGAAGCTGCATGAAGTGTGTGCTTTAATTTACAAACTAATCCTCAAACTTGGCTTTTCTTTCTTCTTTCCAATATTTCCCTGCTCTGAGGTACAGCTTTCCATAACGGCATATACAGTAGAATAATTCCTTTCCAGTCCTGATCAGTACAGGAAATGTAGCTTAAGTTTTGAGCTTCTAAGCATACACACACACACACATTTCATCATCTGTACTGTATCTAAAAATTTGGAGAGATGGAGGCTGGGTGGAGATGTCACAAGTCAACAAGGCTTTTATTGCTTTTAAAAGAAAGCGATTTCTACCCAAGTAACTTCTGAAGTAACTGAATATGCACAGTGCTGAGAGTGCTTCCACAAAGCTCAAGAAGGGCACATCTAAAATGAAATCAGAGCAGATGCACCTGTGGTTAACCTAGCTCTAAATAAAGTCCAGCCAGCTGCAGTCCTGCACATCCCAGTGCACTTTGTGAGCTATGCAAGACAGAAAGCTGCTAAGCCCTTCCAAAAGTTCATGGGGGAGAGGATCTGTACAGCAGACCACACGTGCTAGGAGAAACAGGACCGGGACCTCCACACTCTAGCTAATCAAGCCACATCAGCAGCGGAGACCCCAAGGCAGCAGCAGTAACATCAAGAGAACTGAGGATCTGAAAGGAATTTTTTCTTTCAGAGTGTGTCTCTGCACTCATTTTAAAATAAGTGAAAACAGCAAAAAGTGATCAACAAGCATTTTGTCATTACAGGGGTTATGTATTCATAAGCAAGGTCAGTCATAAATTGAAGTTGTGTATGTAATCTTAACACTGCCCCCTTGTGATTATACATCAACAGACATTAATTAGAGGATTGTACATCATTCTTCACCTAATCCCCTTCAAATCACAGTCATTGAAATTCATAACTTTTTCCACCAATGTGTTCTAAAAGAAAATATACAAACTCTCTTACAAAACAGGGTTTACATAGCCTACCCAAACTCCAAACCACTTCACCCATGAGCACTCAGGGTTACCCCTGAGGACAGCATTTTATTTCCTTGACACCTTTTATTGATTCTATACATCAGTTTGCAGTTCATTCTCCTTGCTAGTGAAACACAAAGGAATCTCCAAAATCCACAAAAATAACATAAGCCTTACAAATTACCCCTTCTAATCTTCTCAAATCCCACACATCAAAGCTACAGTGACAGATATAAGTAGTGCACAAGGCTGTTGTTATGAAATTCTAGTGTATGCAAGAAGCTGAAGCTCTAAGAGCAATTCCAGTCTATACTTAAGAAACAGGTAATGGCACAGATGACTGGAGCATTAACTAGGAAAGTGGATTTCAGCTCATTCACTACCACCAGCTCAGTCTGCTAGCTCCTCTTCTGCCTTTTTAAAAACAGCATTGTGAGGGTGGGCTGCGGCAACTTGTCTCAACAGGCTTTGCTTCTGAGATGTCTCTTCCCACTGTGCAACAGGACACAAGCCCAGAAATGCTCAGAAAAGGTAGTGCTGGGAAAATTGTCACAACAAAAATACTGCCTTGATGAACTACAGATCCAGCACATTGGTATCAGCAGCTTCCCTCTTAGCTGACACTGTGAATGTGTTTTGACATTTATTTCTTGGACACCCACCTCCATCACAGCCCAAGCGAGTGCCACAACACATTTTCCTGCTTACTGTCAGGACTGGGTAAAAAGGTACTTCCCAACAGCCATAAAGCTATTCTCTATTCACCTCCATCACCTCCTGGCTGTGATCTCTTTCCTGGAGCTCCTCCCAGCTGGCTGTATTTCTCTGTTGTTTCTTGTGCATTTTAAGCTCCCTGGGACAACCATCTTTTTGTTCTCTGTCCATACAATTCCCAGCACTGCAAGGTACCAAACCACGAGGAAAGCACTTGACATTACCATATGTCAAATTAGGGGCATTTGGAAACTCAAATTGCCAATACAATACAAGCCAATCTAATGTATAATAAATTTTGAAGCATTTCTTGCTCTTCTGCCCACCTGTTTCATCATTGCTTTCAGTTCAAGGAAGAGTAAAGTTCCTTGCACACTTATTCTCCCTCTCTGGAGAGCTCTCCTAAACATATCAAAGGAAAATATTTCAACACTTCTAAATTTCACTCTTGGTGCTTTCCCCATCTCCAAGTAACTACCTTGCTCCCCCCGGAGGTAACCTGCAACATAACAGGACCACAACAGAGACACAGGAAAAACACCAACTTTGCAAACTGGAAACAAGCACACACAAAAGTACATCTACATAAACACACAGGACTTTTGGATGCAGGTTACATGTATTCCAGGGTGGCCACAAGAAATTAGGATCAGAGCTAGTATCATTCTTCTACACGGGTTACAGGAGTTTCTGGCAGTGCTGAGGTCTATATACAACCACTTCCCAATATGGAAGGCAGGGATCACACCCCCATCCCCTACAAGCTGTCACCTATTCCTGCCCAGATGTCATTACGAGTTATGTGTGTTAGAGCAAGACAAGGCATTGCACTGGCAGGGCATTAGCTTAAACACCAAACTAGTACCTCTTATACTTACCTAACACATCTTCTGAAAACACTTCAGGAGTACTGGGGGGACTCTCAATGCAAGGAAGGAAAAAGAAAATAAAACAAAGCCTGTGCTATTTCTATCAAGATAACTATCTTGATAAAAACCCAGAGATGAAGAACACTGTTACAAATAATCTTGATAGAGAAGAAGCTCCAAATGGCATGGGGACCAGTTCTCTTAATGACACCACACAGATGTAAAGTAGCAGGGATGTGTCCACATGGCCTGCATCCACAGAAAAACCAGCAAACTAATTCTGCATCAGGAGCAGATTGCCAGTCCCGTATCTTTTGGAAACAGAGATCTCCCATCTCCAACATTAACATGGCAGCTTCTGCTGAAAATAAACTCAAAACAGACAGGACGTGGCAAAAGTGAAAGCAAAAAACTTCACTTTTGGCTTGCATAAAGACATGGGAAATGTTACCACTGAGGAGGAGCTATTTCTACATAAACAAACATAAATATGAAAACCTCATTTCTGACGCAACAAAAGTGGTGTAAGAGGAGGAAAGAAAGGTTCAGGCATAGTCCTTCAGTTCCATGGGGTACATCTGAATATTCAACCACAATCTACTAAAGGAGGAGGTGTTTGCCTGCTCTGAGCAAGACCTACCCCAGTGCCAACAGGAAAAGAACCCCAAATGAAAGGACTCGGAAGGTGTTCACTCCCAACTGCAAACGCAATCTGTGTTTTTAAAATAGATCATCTCATCCAAGGCTGAAAGTATTTAATTTCTCAACTGCTGAGTGAGCAAAGAATGATACACAAAGCTATCCCATGAAAGAGTCTTAATAGCTAAGCCTCTTTCTGCTGTACAAGGCACAAACCAAAAAAACCACACAACCTGGCGGCAAGGCTCTCCTGGAGAGCTATGAGACAAGACAATGTTCTTCCTTAAAACCTACTCCACGCTTACAGTGCTTTAAATATCCACCATACAGAACTTTGTTAAAATACCACAAAAGCATTTTCCATTCCCATCAAATTCTTATTTCTTCAAGAGATTCTCCATTAAATTATCTTTATTCTGGATCCAAAATGGCCAATACAGAAGTGTCATGCAGTAGATAAATCAGAGCCTGAACATTCTGCATTTATTATGACACAAGCAAGAGTGCTATACTAGTGAAAACAGCAGCTTAATGTTTTTGACAATGTGCCCTAGACTTACAAGGATCACAAGACAAAATGGTTCAATATTTATTTTAGACCATTTTAATTATACCAATGCCTAGAATTGCCAACTGGGAGCAGCTCTTTCTATTGTGCTAGGTATATATGATAAATAATTAATCTAAGGTGTTTTCAACACCCAAAGGGATGGCATCACCAGCTGAAATGGCAAAAGAGAGGAAAAGGAGCAGCAGATAGGACAAAATAGCACTACACAGTAAGAGAGTGACTGGCACAGCTGAAATCAGTGATACCAATCCAGGAAAAATCAAATGCTTTTACATTTATTACTTCCTAAATTGCTTTTGCTCTCTGGGGTGGCATCTAGTTTACTTAGCTATGAGACATGAAAAGGTCCCAACAGGGCATTTTTAAGGTCTCCAGCAGCACTCCCAAAACAATCAGAGTTAAGTATGTGACCTGGCATGCAATTTTAACCAGTACAATTCCTTTACATTTTAGTGCTCATGCTGGGCAAAGCTTTCTTAAGTTCAAGTCTGTGAAAGTCACCCCACAAGACACACCTGACACACAGACACACATGGGTAACTCTGAACACACATGAGCAATGCTGTGCGCAGTCACAAGACAGGCACTCACCAGACTCACAAACACACGCAGTGCTTGCATCTGCAGCTGCTGCACCCCATGTCAGCTTAACGTGCTTGTCTGTCTGCACAACAAGTGCAGATCCAAATGCAGTTCTCCTCAGTGTTATTTCCTTAGAGGAGTGAGCAGTCTGAAGAGATGCCCCAGTCACAATTTCACAGCTGTCAGTACAGTCAGTGGAACAAGGGGAAAGTGTCACTGGGACAGAAGACCAGTAGGGTCAGCAAGAGTGGAGCAGGTAGCCATCAGCTCAGAAGCAGAAGGTAGAGGAGTCAGGCACCTAAGGCAGACCAAGCCACATGGCAAGGTACACACCCACTAAGCCATACTCAAGAGATGATCTGATGCCTACATACACATAAGACTGCACTGTACACACAAACAATTTAACCTTCAACAAGGTTACACCCTATGTACCTCATTTTAGGGAAACTAAATTCTGAGAATAACACAAAAATCTTCTGCACTTGCAGCTCATACAGCCCCCACCCATTTTGCTAGCCTATAGTCACCCTAAAAGAAGCTTCCCCTCCCCATACGCCCATTAAAAAACTCAGAATCAACAACAAAACCCTTTTACCCTGAGCCATGCACTCTTCTTTCCAGAGTTTTGTTCTGCTCTATTAATTTCTGTTGTCTCACTGTATTTGCACAGCCCTCCTCCCCCCATCCTCCTCCTCTTTTTTTTTTTTTTTTTTTTTTTTTTTTTTTTTTTTTTTGTAGACTGACCCACATTGTGATAGGTCAATATCTAACATCCAGTCCCTTTTTTGGAAGGAGATAGGAAAAAGAGAGAAGAGGGAGGGAGAGGAGGAGAAGGGATGTTCCCCAACCTTCTCTCCTTTGAGAACAGGATGAAACACACTTGGGCCATGCACTGTATCTCTCTCCCATCCTCTCAACAGCCCAACTCCACACAAACCAGGCAAGCCCTCTGCTCCCAGGGGAGGAACACAGAAAGAGTGTAAAGATATTCTGCAACTGGCAGAGGGGAAAGAGGCAAGAAGAAAAAAGGATGTGTTGTAAACAGTTGTGTCCCACATGACAGAGGATGTTTGTATTTCATTTTCCAAACTCTCAAGAACAAAGTCAAATCAGAACTTATTCCACCACCACCTGCATTCATTGTTTCCCACCACTGAGAGCCAAGACAGGGTAGACAACAGTTTTAAAGTTACCACAGGATATACAGTTTCTTTAAGAAGAATCAGAACTCAGACTCTACAGCAACATGGAAAATTACTGAACTTGTAGCAGTCACACTCAAAGAAACTTTTTCTAACACATTAGAGTATACTTTTCCACCCAGAAGATGACACATAGAATCTATCAGATCCATACTTCAATTTAGCAAGTAAATGAGCTGAAAGAACCCAGACATCACAGGTCTAGGCAACTGTGCAGTGGTGCATATGAGGGCAATGGCACATCTGATTTCCCCAGCAATCATTCTCTGATGCAGACATGTAGCAGTGATGAACACTGCAGGAGTAAAATCAGTGATTCTCAACAAAGCAAAGCCACATTCACTATAAAAGTCATTTTGTTATTGCTGCAGTAACAACAGATTGGCTTGTGTTTGTTTGAAATTTGTTGCTTTTTTTTTTTTTTTTTTTTTTCCTCTAAACCTCTGGACATAGGATACAAACACCCTTCCCTAATTCCCCAAAACCATTAACTTCTAAATTCATTGCTCCTATCTAACATTAGTCCCTCCACACTTTTCTCCTGCCCTGCTACTTCATCAGGAAAAATAAAAATACTACAGAGGCAAAGTTCTGAAAGTCGAATTAGGACTTTTGTATTCCTAGACTCATGGGAGTCTCCTTATACCAAAAGCCATCAGCAGCCATGCATCTCTCTATACAAAAAAAAATCACACCAAGCATCAACCTGAGAGGGTACATGCTTAAAAAAAGGACAAAGCTTCAACTCAATGTTTCCAGATCCTCTGACATTAAATTATGCAGTAGCATGAAGTTACTTGACAGGGAATTTGTATTAATGACTTTTGACTTAAGCCTCTTGTAAAATCAGTGCCATCACAAAGTCATTGGGAGGGGGGAAAGGAAGTCTGTAGTCAGGAGAGTTTGGAGAAGGAGAGAAGTCACTCCCAGCTAACAGCTTCACCCACCACTAACCAGTCTTTCATAACGAAACACCCAAGGAAGAGACAAGATATGATGAGCCATAAAGAGAAATTCCCTCGCTTCTAACCTGCCTCTTGAGGTGACTGACTTGTCTATGTTCATTTCAAGTAACCTGGACAGAGACACAGCTACATTACCGCTGCTGAGGCTGTATCTGTGTTGGAGATAACCAGGCAGCTGCAGGCTCACAAGCAATCAGCTCAGCAGCCTCCATGTCATGTTCTGCAGCCTAAGGAGGGAACGCTGGGTCAGCAAGGTCAGCTTTTAAGGTATTATCTCATCTCCTTCTTGAAGCCTCACTGCTGCACTATGTAACATGTTGCAGTCATTTCCTTTGCTGAATCAGAAGGATTTTTTTTTTTTACTAGCAAGTTAATCGGTGGCCACATGTACAAAATATCCAGGCAGAGATGGATGCTCTGGGGCTAGACACAAAAAATGTGAGGCTGTGACACCAACCCTCTATGCTCTTGGTCACTCTTCGTTATACAACATCCTCGAATAGCTGATCCTCTCAGTATCATCAGACTCCCAGGCACTGTGACTGTAAGATAATATTAGCACATTCCCATCCTTCCAATACAGAGACAGACTTGAGGGTGGGGAGACAAATATTCAGGTACTGTATGGGTTAATACTGAAGGTAGAATGTCAGTTATTTCCCCTTCCAGGTTCCTGTGAATTATGCCCCTCGGGTGCTATAAAGACCTGGTCAAACCCAGATATAGCACGGTTCCTGAGCAGCTTGCCTATACACTGTATTTTACCTGGACACAGCTTGCCCTGTTGCCTTCCCAGATATGTTACTTACACCATCAGAAACAAAAAACCCCATGGAGGTTGACCTGATTTTTAAAGAGAGAACCTGGCTATGAGCAAGTACTCCAGCCCCCACCTCTTCTTAGAACAGAGAGACTCCGTGGTGAGACTCCTGGAGAGTGATTGCAACTCACAGCTTTATGTGGCAGAATTTCACTTCCAAAACTTTCCTGGGGAATTGCTGCTCTGAAAATAGGTCCAGTTGTCCTCCCCAGAAGTTGTCCATACAGGGAAAAAATTAAAAAGTAAAAAAAAAAACCACCCAGAAAAAAATGGGGGAGGGGAAAAAGAAGAAAAAAATACCCCAGATCCCTTACTACAAGGGTGTTTTCAGTTCAAGCACTGTAATATTTTACAGTTGTTTTAGCTGTTTCAATCCATCTTTTCACAGTGTCAAACTGCTTTCGGAGTCCCAAGCGTTCTGGTGGGGTGTGATGTTTTGACAGGAAACCGCTCTTCCACCACAAGAAAGCAAACCCCAGTGAGTCTGGGAAGAAGCAAGAGCAGCACACAACAGACACAGCACTCCAAGCGAACAGCTGGGCAAGCCAGCACACAAAACTCCAGCCCAGTGCTATTCTCTTCAGCACCTCAAATTTCCAGGGCCTTGACAAGCACAATCAATCACAAACTCTAAAGCAGAGAAGAGCTTCTGCCCCCAGCCAGGGCTGTTCAATAACACCCAGCTGCTTTGTTACACGGGCAGCCAGCAGCAGGCGTGTGCTAGAAAACTCAGCCGTACAAAGGTTAAATGCAATTTCTCTCTGAGGTTGTGCTATCCTCTTCATATTGCAGACAGACCAACCTGTACATTCACTGCTGCTTTCCTTGGTTTCCTCAATTTTAGGCTGGAAACACTGAGAAAATGAGTCACAGCAATGGCACTTCAGAATCAAAAAGTCTGATTTGAAACTTCGTGTTTTACTTCATTCAATACAACACTGGATTCTTGAAGCAGCTAGAACCTAAACAACAATCTCCTGAGGAATTCACTGCTTCTACCAGACATTGCTGCAAGAGCTCAAAGATATGCTTGGAGCTTCGAGAAAATGAAACAGGCACTTCTGCTAGAAGAAGCAGGTAACTATTTATCTCCCTCAATGTAAACATAAACCAATTAAAAACTAAACCAAAACAGGAAGAGAGAAGGAATGAAGGGTAAATTCCTCAGATGGAAATTAAAAGGTTATCATCTTACACCAAAACATGATTATTAGATGTTTTAGTTTATGCAGCAGTAGAACTGGGTAGAAAAAGGGACCACCTTTTTTGAGGGGGAAGGAGGTGTTTTAAAAGTTATTTTGTGCAAGGGAAAAAAAACCCACCCACCCCTCCTTCCTTTATCCATGAGAAAAAAAGAACCCTAGTCCCACAACCACAAAAGCTCACCTCCCAGCCTGCTACCAGCAAACAGGCAAAGAAGCTGACAGAAAACAAGGCAGATTTCTAGCTGGATTCTGTCAAATGGTTAGAGACCAGACAGCTCAGAATGCTTCTGTTATGCCAAACCAGCCAGTCACACTGAACCTCATTTTCTGACCAGTTTATCTAAGAACCTTCCCCTTTTGACTGCCACGTGTCCTGAGGAGACAGACAAACTGAAGTCCAAAAGGTGCCCAGTGGTTGGGAGTGGTTGGCTCATCCCCTTGCTCCACATCTCCAAAACACAACCTGTTCAGTGCTCTGAACTGATTGTAGAGACCTGAGCAGATCACAAAAGAAAAACATCTGCCCACACCACCAAGCTGGTCAGACATGCTGACTTCACTAGTAAAGCTTCCCAATCATTTTGCAGCAAGACCAAATCACTGCTGCTCCAGATGCACAGACACCCACCTGCTGCTTCCATGACACCTAGGGTTTACAGCACAACTGTACCAATGACAGTTAATATGGTTAATGACCCAAAAACCTGCTCCCCTTGACCAGAGCAGCTTTGAAGCCCATTTTCTTGGGGACAATGATGAAAAGAAAGCCTGAAGCAGGCCTTTCTGAAATACTGCCACCATAAGAAAAGGTCTGGCAAAACCCCTAGTGTTTACCAACATCCTAAAAAGCATGAGAATTTATTTTTTTGCCAACAGTATCACACAAATACAAACCTTTAGTATTAGAAACCTGAATAACACAAACATTTCTAGAGAAGTCTGTGTTCCCTTTTAGGGAGGCTGCTAAGCTCTTAGACCAAAGGGTAACATCCAGCAACACAAGTTCAAAGGCACAGTTAACTGCTGTATTAAAATAGCCAAATCTTTGTTAGTGGGATGTATGCTCTATTACATTTTCATTGATTTTTTTTTTTTTCTGCAGGATAGGAAAGCCATTTCTATCCACCCTATTAGTCTTTGCTCTATTATTGATCAATGTCTTCTATTTTTATCTTTACAGAGGTAAACAGTCTTCTCTCTGGGGAAACCTGTCTTTATGTCTTCAATAATTACTCCTGTTCAAGCTCCTTACATGGCAAGAACAATTTGAAACTTCTGTAAGCAAGAGCCGTCTTCACTATTTCCCGTAGATTTCCCACTCCTCCTCCTCCACCCACTCTTGACAGCTTCAGAATGTTCCAGGCAGCTTTCATAGGGCTGTCCCTGAAATCACTCTAGTCCCTTTCCACAATTCATCAGAACTCAGTCACGCACACATTCTTCCAAAGCCCTCCTTTTACTACACACTGCAGCTGCCAAGGCTGAATTTAGCCCTTACAGAGCAATTGAGATTTCGAGACACCATGAGCATCTGAACAAGACCCACAACTCACCTGCAGTGCAAGAGAACACAGGCACAGTAACAGCCTCCTCGCACACCTACCACACCAGCACATGCACGAGGCGTCTGTCAGTCGATCCAGTCCGAACCAAAGGAAACCCAGCAAACACAAACCCGGTGCCCATCACGTTACTGCAGTCTACGAAGCTGCCAGCCCACCCAGGACCAGACACAAACGTGCAGACAGGGACACGCACCCAACGGCACCAAAGAGCGTGACAGCACCGGGGAACGAGGGGGCTGCGCTGGTGTGCATGCACAGGGAGAGCGAACAGCTGCAGCAAGGACAGGTTTCGGGGAAGGAGGGAGAGGAAGGAATTGGGTGGGCTGCACTGGGAGGCTGTGGGTAGAGGCGGGGGTGCGCGGTGTGTGCGCTGGTATGGAGGCCATGCGGGAGGGATGTGCGCGGAGGGGGAATGGCGGGGGCAGCCCTGAGGAGGAGGGGGCGCACACCGCGGGGGGAAACGGGGCGGAGGGCTGAGTGGGGACGCGGGGAGCGGCGCAGGTCACGCCGGGGAACGGGAGGAGGAACTGCGAGGGAGCGGGAACAGCGACCACACCGGGCCGACGTGGGGCGCAAGGTGAACTGGTGGGCGCCTCAACGAGCCACCCCCGCGCCAGCGCGGCTGCTCCGGCCCGGCCCGGCCCGCTCGCCCGCAGCCGCCCCCGCCACGTCTTACCATGCAGCGGGCGGGCGGGAGCGGCCCAGCCCGGTGGGGCGAGGAGGGGTCGGGTCGGGCCCTGCCCGCTGCCCCGCGGGCGGCGCCGGCACCGGCGCGGGGGCGCGGAGGCCTCAGGAGCCCATGGCGACGCCGGGCCCGGCCCGGCCCTCCCTCCGCGC